TCATTAACATTTTATGGTTACATTAGACAGATACCTTATTGTTTATAGTAAGCGTCGATTTATATATTTATACATAAATTTAATTAATTTAATTTAATCTTATCTGTGTGTGTGTGTGTGTGTGTGTGTGTGCGTGTGTGCGCGTGTGCGCGTGTGCGTGCGTGCGTGTGCGTGCGTGATAAAGTGGGGGTTTTTTTTTTTTTAAATTGTACTCTTATGATTACTCAAGTTTTATAATGTTTTATGACTTTGTCTATTTAATAACGTTTTAATTTTGTGAATCTCACATAGTTAAGGATTAAATTAACAATAAAAGTACAAAAAATATAATTTTTATTAAAATGAAATATTTTATTACATCATACACACATAGCATTAGATATTCCATGTATATACATAAAAGCTTCATGATGTGAAAAAAACATCCTGTATATCCACTGCACATACATTTCATATACGTAATATGAATATACATGACGATATATACTATGTAAAAACATTAATGGTTTTAATATGTATATATCACACATAATGTTGCATGTAAATTCCATGAATATACATATTTGGAACATACTCCGATACATATTGCATATACATACGTTAAAGGAAATTCGCGATATATTCGATATCCTTGATAAATGGTACATTCGGCGTGTATATGTATGTACATCAATATACTGTGATATACATCTTATATATATATATACCTTGATAGACTTAACATGTATACATCGTACATCATATCGCAAGTATATGCGAAATGTATATGCAGTGAATATACAGGATGTTTTTTTAAATCATGAAGCATCATGAAACTCCCTAGATAACAAGTATTTTTTTTATGTTTTAAATTAGTTTCTTTTATTATCAGAAAACAATTTATTTAAATTTACAAAATGATTTATTTGTATCTTATTTACTTTTAAAGCAAATAAATATTTTTTAAATATGCTTTTTACGTACTTTTAAACATACATTTTATATATAAGATGTAGTAAAAAGAAATCCATTATTTTTGCATGAAATTGAAGGCTTTATTTAGCATAGTTAGAATGATCCGATTTAGGTCAAATATGCACCGTTTTGTTCGATAACTTGTTGCCATTTTGAAGGTAATTCCATTATGCCTCTCTCATAGAAACCCTTGTCCCTATTGGTAAAAAACTCGATTTTCACAAGCTTCTCTTAAGGCGAATTTTTCACCAGCAAAATCATTCGCCATAAACAGGAACAGGTGGTAATCACTTGGTGCCAGGTCCGGACTATAAGGTGGATGCATAAGAACCTCCCAACTAAGCTCCCGAAGCTTCTGGCGAGTCACTATCGATGTGT